GCAAATAAAGCTTAAGATCCAGTCTTAGGGAATTGTCTTGGGTCCAAAAGGTGGATTAATAGCAGTGGGTATTCCCTGCTCTGCAGCATGAGGCTTTGGCCTTTACAAGCAGGATGGTGGGTGAGATGGACTAGTGGTCTGATCGTGAATGACAGCGCCTGTGCTCTGGAATACAGAGGTGATGTGACTGCTGCTCAGGGTGACACTTCAGTGCACGTTCTGCGGGTGGTTAACTCGCCAGCACTGGGGTCTTGCCACAGGTAAGGGAAGTGGTGTCTCTCCAGGTGGAGCTCCCCAGGTTTCTGCCATTCACTAACGTTCTAAGCCACTATTTCTAGGTAAAAATAATTAATGAGTAGAGATGTGCCCAGTCCTGCAGTGTTGTGAAAGACCTGGCTTGGGTCCCCCCAGCTGCCGGGCGCTGCTCTGCAGGAAGATGAGGTGCCAAAGTCCAGCGGGCTGCAAGCAGCAGCAGCCCCTTTGGCACGTGTGAGGAGCAGGTCGCGCAGGCCGCTCTGTGCCTGTGTCTGACATCCCTCCCGGGGGAAAAGTGTCACTTCACAGCGGCTGGTGCAGCCTATTGCCCTGCTGGGTGGTGACTGGAGACCTCCCCTCCGAGATGTAAATCAAAAACCTCTCCAGCTGTTGGGTTTGGGGTTTCTCCTGGCTGGTTGTTGGTAACGTGGAAGTCTGGTGAAAGGCTTCTCATCAGAATAAGATTGAGTGTTGGGAAAGTTTTCCTCTTCTCAGTGGTCTTTGAATTAATTTATTATGTTTGCTAGTTTCTGGTGAATATGTATGTGTTTAAAACAATGACCTGCATAAAGTCCAACCCATGTTCTTGTTTCTCCTCCACTTGTTGGTAGAACTCCGGTTCCTTAAAGCTGGTGTGAAGTGGTAATGAAGTCCTGGTATTTACAGGCTTCATGTGCCTGGCACTTGGACCTGAGTACTTTCTACACAATTAAACTGCTCCTGGGTGGATAGTGATGGTATCTGCACTATTGTTAGAAAATGGCAAGAAGTGGAAAGTAAAGGGAGCTCCAGTCACTGAACCTCTGCTTCATGCTGCTGCCTCCACTCGAGTGCTGCAGAGTGTTTGGAGCTGGTGGCTGCATCATGCCAACCCTTCCTATTCCTTAAGACGAATGAAATACCCAACTTTGAGGCACTGTTTGTATAAAGAACATCAATTAATGTGTTCCAAGTAGGAATTTTGACTTCCCATTGGATGGCCTTTGCTGCTGCTTTCACTTGCTGGTAACTCCTCCCCTGCAGGCATTGGGCGAGCATAGAAATCACAGGGGGTTGTGTTTGTTCATTTTAAGATTAAAGCCAGTTATGAATTGATCTATCTCAGTGCTTCAAGGCACTGAATTTTTCTGTATTAGTAGCTTCTGAATCCCAGTCTTCCATTGGCACCACAGGGGAAAGGGGAGCCTTTGACATTTTACTTGCAGGAAAAGATATATTCCTCTATTAAATATAACTTGTTGCCAGTCTTGTACCTGGACAATGTAAAGTATAAATACTGTGATTCTGGAAATCAGGCATGGGGTAGGAGGGAAAGCAACGCTTCCTTGGGGATTTAACTTAAGGAGTAATGTGTTGCACTGTCCAGAGACAAGCTATAGACACTTTCCAGATAAGCAAAAAGATAAGATCCTTGCTCTGAAAAGGTTCAGCCTGAAGAGAAACAGAGAGCAAGGCACAGGTACAATAGAAATCAAAATACCAGGAGCAACACAGGTTAGAAGTGATGTGGTTTAGGTTCAGAACTGTCCCTGGGCTTCCGTGTTTCAGCTTCTGCTGTGTCCTTGTAAGTGAATGTTCATTTAAGGCCTAAATCCAGCACTGGCTCTTTGTTTTGCACAACTTTGGAAGTACCTGGGAAAAACACTTCCTGGCTATCTCATCTCTGGGTAGAAGAGGTACCAAAGGGGTGCTTTTAGTGGCAGTATTTATTGGTAAGATGCTGCCCTCGAAGTGGGACACCTTTAGCAGGTGGAAAGAGAACTAGAAAGTGAACACTTTGACCTGCACGGAGGGAAGGGCTCTCGTGTTCCTCTCATATGCTTGATTTGGTGCTTAAACGCTGGAGTTAAAGCCAAAAAGCCCATCAGTAACCATTTAATGTGTCGTTTATTTGCCCTAAACATCCCTCTTCAGTGCTCAGTGAGATGGGTCACCAGCTTTTTGAAGACTGCCAGCATTGCTTTTCAGGAGCAGATGTATTATTTTGTTTAAACTGGGACTTCATCTGTGGATTTTAATAACTGTGGGGAGCTGAGCATTCCCTTTACAAACCCAAAAGCTTTCGAACTGGTTGTAGTCTGACACGTTAACTTCCAAAGGCTGAGGATTTAGGGAACTTACTAGCCGAAGGTGGGGTATTCCTATACAATCCTTATTCAGTTGGGTAGCCATTGAGTATGGGTTGTAAGAACTATTGGGCATTTCTGAGTTCTTAGTCAATGCCTTGAGCATCACTTTGCTCAGTCAGTGCTGAGGACTTGCTGGAAGAGTTACTCTTTGTGCCAGAAGTACTGCACTAACTGCTGTTACTCAAAACTTACACATGGCAACTTCTCTCTCCACCTTTTCTCCCCCAGTTCCTTCTCACGTGCACACTGTGAATGTTCAGCTGAATTAGCGAGTAAGTTATCTTCAAGCTTCAGTGCGTATTTGAAACCAGCTTGAACAATATCCATCCCAGATGTCTGTGAGACTGTCTTCTTCTGCTCAGTCTAACTGAATGGAAGAAATGGTTTGTATCTGGTAGCTTGCCTTAACAGCTTCTGGTTTTTGCTAGTGGCAAAGAGATACTCTTCCTTGACAGAACCAGTGCTACTTTTTCTGTGGCCCTGAGCCCCAGTGAACTTATCTGCTCTGTTTTTATCACCTTGGCATAATAAGAGGTGTAGTCTCTCTTTGCAAGCTTGTAGTTACTAAGCACTGCACATCAGTGCTGTTGACAGGTCTACAGCCAGGCATCAGTTGCTGTACGTGGGGTGAGTGATGAGGATAGAGTGAGGAGAGTGACAGAGGCAGGAGCAGTTTGTTTGCTGGTTCTGCCCTTGGGAGCTTCCCTGGCTCTGTTGGGAAGACCTGCAAGTTTCTGTCTGCAGGAGTCTCACTGTAGGTTATTCCTTTTCCTCTTCTCCTTGCCCTGCAAAATGAGATAGAGCAAGCCAAGCAGCCTTCGCTCTAGCTTCCTTCTGCCATAGGCATTGGGCTTTAATACCAG